TCCAAATGTGTCCAAGTTTCTACCTCCAAAACACACACAGATAATCACACATATGTGCAACTTGCTTTTTTTTCTAGAAATGGAATTTCTAGACAGATGCCCCTTGAGTTATGTCCTGATAAATCCACAGTACATGAAGATATCATAGAGCAAAATGCACTTAATACACCTAATCGATGAGGCATCAGAGCTTAGCGAAACTACACACTGCAGAGCATCAGAAGTCCCTCAAGTGCTTGAATGTCTGACTGAGATGTGGTTCACTGTCACCAACCTGCGTCTTGGGAGAGTGTCATACAGCATATCTCTAGCCAGAGGAAAAAAATGGAAATCCAATACACGGAGCATAGTTTCTACTGAATGCTTATTTCTTCTCCATCACCCTCAAGTCAAAAACTATCATTCAAACCCTCACTAATCAGGGACATCTGCATAGTCCACATTTTCTTACATGTACATCCAGCTCCTTGTGGTCTTAATGAGCCACCCCAGCCAGCCAGTATCTGATTATAATCCATGATAAATGATAAACTATACCCACATACATATATGTTTATCAGCTATACCAATGTATAGTTGCTCGTTTTTGGATGCTTTATGTCTTAGCAATCCCACATGTAGTAATACCACAACTCAAGTTGTAGCTATATCTGCCCAGTTAAGGAAGCATTGAACTATTTTTCCCATGTGTGACCTTTAACATGGGACTTAATCTCTCTGTGCCTTATTTGTAAAAGGGGTTTAAGGCATTATTTAATGTGATCACATATTTTTTAATATTTTATTTTTATTTTATGTGCATGCGTGTATTGCTTACATATATGTAAGTGCATCTGTGTCATACAGTCCCTGTGGTGATCAGAAGATGGCATCAGATCACCTGGAACTAGAGTTACAGATGGTTGTTAGCTGCCATGTAGGTGCTGGGAAACGAACCTGGGTCCTCTGCAAGAGTAACCAGTGCTCTTAACTGGGGAGCCATTTCTCTAGCCCTGGTGTTCTAGTTTGTTTCTCCATTCCTGTGACAAAACACTCTGACCAATACCAACTTGGGGAGGAAATGGTTTATTTGTCTTACATCTCCCTGGTCACAATTCATCAGGGAGCCCAAGGGAGGACCTCAGGGCAGGAACCTGGAGGTGGGAGCTGAAGCATAGGCCATGGAGGAATATTGCTTACAGGCTTGCTCCCCTGCCCATGCTTGGTTTGCTTTCTTATACAACACAGAACAACCTGCCCAGGGGTGGCACTGCCCACAATGGGCTGGATCCTCCCATAACACTCAACAATCAAGAAAATACCCCACATACCTGGCCATAGGCTAGTCCAATGGAGGAACTTCCCCAATTGAGGCTCCCTCTACCCAGGTGTGACAAGTTGATAACCAAAGCATCTACCACATACAGTAATGCTGCAGGCAATCTGATAGGTGCTACATGATTGTACGGTTACAAAAATAAGTTCATGTTTTCTTTAATGATTTGTTTTGGTTTGACTTTGGGGGAGGGCACTGTGATGGGGAGGAGGCCTATGTGTGCCATGGCCTGCATGTGGAGGTCACAGATCCTCACCTTCTACCTGGAGACAGGGGTTGTCTTGTTTTTCTGTGTTCCAGGCTAGCAGGCCTGCAAGCTTCTGGGTGTTCTTTGCTTCTACCTCCCATCTTACTGTGGGTATGCTAGGATTATAGACATGCGCTACCATGTCCACCTTTACGTGGACTCTGGGGATTCAAACCCAGGTCCTCACACTTTGCAGCAAGATTTTACCCACTGACTCATCTCCCCTGGTCTCTGGTTTGGTTTTTGGAGATAGTCTCACTATGTAGTCCAGACTAGTCTTGAACTCATGATCCTACTGCCTCAGCATCCTGAGTGCTGAGATTCTAGTGTATATCACAATGCCTGGCTCCTCTGGTGAACTTTTATTAAGTAGGTCGTTCTAGATCTGTGTGCAAGAGGAAGAGTAGGTTTCCTTGTATATGAGAAAACTGCAAAAAAATTTTTTTAAAGCTTCACTATTTTGAAATATAGGAAAAAAAACCAGGCTGGCTAGAGTTGTAAAAGGAAATGTGATAAAGTTCTGGATAAGCATTATGCAAGAAAGGAAAAATGATTTGTAGGTTTGTTTTGGCAGCTTATTTCTTAATATTCCTGTCTATAGAACTTCATTTCCAGGCTTCTAGCCCTACGACCTGTGCTGACAAGCTGGGTGTTGGAATCTCCTAATCTCTTCTTTCCCCAGCTTACTTTAAGGCCAAATTTAAGCTTTAAGAACATACTTAGGTTAAAAAATTTACAAAGGAAATCAGGTAAAATGGGAGCATTCTTTTAGTGGGCTGTTTTGGTGGAGCTGGATTTGATGCTTGCTGTTGACAGTAAGTGCGCTGTTTGTGGTGCTGTGGCACACAGGCCAGGGGAGGAAGGAAGGGACTGAACAGCATGGGGCTCTTTCTTTCATTTGTTGAGGCTCAGTGTTTTAATAACTTCAATATTTGCACAGCTGAAGGAAAGGAAAGAACTCCAAGAATAGATATCATGAAGATCTCTAGAAGTTGGCAAACCAGAAAAACATGAATTGGAAAAGTGCTGCCTGTGTGGTAAGTAAAAAGCATTTCAGCCAAAACAAACCTAGTCCTGGGATTTTTAGATTCCAAAGAGAACCCATAAGGAGCACACTGCTCTAAGTATCCTGACCATTGCAACTCTGCTTCTTTGTTTATGAAGATATTCAGAGTGCATTAGGGAAATAGAGATTTCTCCATGATATCAAAAAAACACAAAGCCTTGGGCTCAGACAAAACCACTTTATAACTCCATCTCTGTAACTTACAAGCATGGTGTTTTGGAGATTTGACTTCATCTCTCAGAGTCTCAGTTTTCTGCCTTTGCAACAAGCCAGGCGGATGCAACACGCCTCAGGGGTGGCTGAGATTTTTCCTCACGCTGCTTCGAGCCTCCTCTGTGGCGAGACCTGTTTCAGACTCATCTTTTTTGTATTGTCCCACATTGGCCTGTAGCATGGGCACCACAGCACCGCTTGATAGTACTCTGTCCTCGCTATGGCCAGCGAGGAGACCGGCTGGAGGCTCTACCTCCCTTAGAACAGGAAAATGGAAGCCATGGGACGCAGCAGGTCAGTGAGGCATCAAGAAAAAAGAAGAGGGTATTTTGCACAAGCCAAAATCCACATTTCATGGAAGCCTGGCTAGAGGCGAGTTGTTCACACATTCGTTATCCTTCCCAAATGTTCTTTCTGTCCAGTTAGCTGGACAGCTTGCTGTCTGAGTCATCCCTCAATGAAGCTGTAGCCACTGCCCTGTTTGGGTTTCATGTGTATCTATCCAAACCTCAGTCTTGGTAACAGTAATGTGCTGACTGTCCAGCTAGCAGCCCGTTCCCACATCCTGCACCCTTCAAATCCTTCCCTGATCTCTAACTGCCCACACCCACCTAATATAGACTGGAAATGGGACAAGGTGAAATGGAATTTCAAAACAAGCTCCCAGTTAGAGGAGATCAACGAAGACCTTGTTCTCCAGTTAGCTGAAATGCTCATGTTTACCCTTGGTTGAATAAGGCTGCCTTTCACAGGTCTGTTTGTAGGCAGCAATGTGGCAGTAACAGTCACCTTACTTAATCTTTTCTCCTCTTTTAGCAAGTGGAAAATAATTGGAAATGTTAACTGTGGCCAGCCCAACAATGGGGACAATTGACAACAGGGGCATTGAAAATTTGTCCTGTCTCACTATCCTCCTGATACAAAGTTCAGTCATTAGAATTCCACCAACTGATCACTGGGGAAAATATCTCTTCTTTTGTCTTTAGCACCTTTTGGAAAATACTTGAGAGTTTAGAACTTGAAAGAAAAAGAAAGTACTACTTCCCAAGGAAGGAAGTGATTGATAGGACAAACTGATTCTGTAAGGGGGAAGATGGCCTTCTCTAGTTGGAAGTATGTCAGGGACAGGACAGGGATAGGGAAAGCCTTGGGCCATAGGAATGGGAGGGTGGGCTGAGGATAGGATAAATGAGCACTCACCATGTGTGTGGTGGGGGGAGGAATTTGGTGTAGTACCAGATCTGTCTACAGATAAAGTAGAAACAGATTAGCTGTGACTTAATTTGAAATTAAGGACCCTTGAAAATGGACCTCCTGACAATGCTTTATAATAACCACAAAGGTTCTTTTTGAAGTTCACAAGTGTGTCATGAAGCACAGAGACAGTGTGTGCTATCTTAAACCACAATGCCAGGGATTTGGTTTTATTCTTTTCCAGAACAAAAGAAACTCGGAAACCAAAAATCTACTAAAACCAGCACTGATAAAATGAAACAGATTTAATTATGTTTGGAAAATTGAACCCAGTTAAACTATTATATCCTGAAATGCTTTAAATATTCAAAAATTTCTGTTTTCATTTTTGAAAGAAATGGGCAAAAAAACATGATTGCCTCTTGAGGATGCTGTCTCAACCTTATAACTATATCTACCATAAAACTGGAACAAGATGGTCAGATAGGAAAACTGGGGCTTTCTTAGTCTATTTTTATTTTTATTAATAATGCTGTTTATTGTCCTAAGGTTCTAAAGTTTTTCATATTATAAGAACAATAGCAAAATAAGCATTTATTAAACTGTCAGTAAGTAAGGAATTCCTAAGATTTTTACAGAAATTGTCCATGATTTTATATGACAGGTATTATAATCTTCATTCTACAGGTGAGAAAACTAGGCATTGAAAAGACTTTACTAATACACACACTAAAGCTAGGAACAAAGGGCTATTGAAGGATTTTGTTCTTTTTTTTTTTTTTAATTTTTTGAGGGGAGTCTACATGAGCCCAGGTCGACCTAGAATTGGCTGAACTCCGCATTCCCCCATCTTACAAGTGCTGGGATTACATGTGTGTGCCATCACTCACCCAAATATTTGAAGGGTCTTGAGAGGGAATTTAAATTCATTGGTTTTAACTAAATGGTTTCTTTTTGACGCTTAGTTCATAATTTCAAGGCAAATATTTGCTTATAGGCAATTGCAATAGATGAATGTAAACCTACAGTGTTAAATTTCAGTACTATGACTAGGTATACAAACCTATTCAAATATCTATTGGTGTCCAACATTTTCTGTTGTACATACAACTTTTATTTAACTTTTATTTACATGTGGGGCTGGAGTTAAGCCCAGTGTCCCACACAGCCTTTACAATCACTGTATCACTGAGCTATACCACCAGCCTCTTTCAGTCTCTAAAGTATAACTTCTCCCATAAATAGACACCATCTTATATTCAAATGACTGTTCATTTACTACAATCTCATTTCCTTCCAAGTGTTTATAACCAGGGAACTCTAAATTCATGCCGAAACTTTGATGCATTCTACAGTGAATTTTCAGACCCCTCATTCACTCCATTGACATTAGGTACTTACATACCAGATACACTTTTTTTGTTGTTGTGGTGGTGGATGTTATTTTTTAGACAGGGTCTCATATAGCCCAGGCTGACCTCCAGCTCTCTTTGTAGCTGAGGATGACCTTGAAATCCTGACCCTCATCCTTCTACTTCCACTTTGGAATCCTAGAATTACAGGCATGGGCCATGATGCCCCATTTATGTGGTACTAGGGATGGAACCCAGGGCTTTGGGTAGGGCAGGATAGCACTCTACCAACCAAACTACATCTCCAGCTCCTAGATATGGTTCTAAGTGCTGATACAGACAAAGCCCAAACTCTTCTGGAGTTCATACTTTAGTTAAAAAATATGTATTAGATAAATCAATAATTAGTGAGGAGCAGAAAAAATCATGTTGTCATATTCTTGGGACAAAAACTGAGAGCTGTAACCCAGAAAACATTATCTTATATTTTAGTAGATTTCTCTTTAATGCTATGTATGGCTATATGACTAACCTTTGCCCAACGGATATAAACAGGAGAGGTGTGAACAGTAAGAAGACATCTTCTGAAAGAAAGGCATGGGCCATGCCTTCTTCTTCTTCCTGCTGTCTGAACCACAAGCCTGCTACCTGGACACAGAACAGTGAACTAGGCCTCAAAGGTCTGCATTTTAGGAATGGAGCAAAAAGAAGGCAAAGCTCCTGATAAGCGGGTCAGTTACACCTGCCATACATTCCTTACCTCTAGACTAAGGAAAAACTTCCACTTTTTTATTGTTCATTTTTTTAACATGGGAGGGGAATTCTGTTACTCACTTCCATGTGATATTAATCTTGACTAACTCAAAATGCAAAGAAAAATGAGAAAGGGGTTAGAAAACGGCACAGGGTAGTGCAGGTGGGATGCCTGGGGAAAGTTTTCATGAGGACTTAGTACTTAAGCTGAGCACTGAATGCGAACTAGGTGGGTAGGAAAGCATGTTCCAGGAATAGCAAATAGTAAAAGGAAAATACCATATCGGTGGAGGGAATATGGTTTTGTGGTTAAAGTGCTGCAAGGAAGCCTAGATGATTGAGTTTTTGGACTTCTTCTCTTATCATTCCTCCAGACAGAAATCCTCCACTCCAGGTCTTGAAGAGGCTGTGCAGCTTTTCAGGGATAATCTTTTTGGATGTCTCCAAAAGAGTGACCCATTGAGGGGTCTAAGTTTTTACTCAGCTTCCTGGTTCAACCTATGATGGCCCATTTCAACATCTTCCCCCACTTTCCTATTCAAATATTATGTGCTTTTATAAGATAGAGTAATTCTTGCCTTTGCTTTGGGAATGGCTCTATTGATCCACTCATCACTGCTTTTGTGCTTCCTGAGTCCCCATAGATATTATTGGCCATACTGTTCATTTTGATTAAGACTAATCTGTCATTCTGTTCCAATTAATACATGCATCCTGTTACCTCAATTAAGATATAGAATAAGAACTACATCTTTAGAAGTTTTAAAATCCATTTTGGCTCATTCATGGCCAATGAATGAGTATTTCATTCAACTATCTCAGAAACCAGAAACACAATAGGGAGAGCCTAATCTTTCCCTGTTCCTCCCTTTTGCCAGGAAGATATGAGTAGCTAAAGTATTTGGTGCTATATATAGTAAATTGATGTCAGCTGGATGCCAGTCTCTTCAGAAAGGCTCAGTTCCCTGTTTGAGTCAGAGCTAGGGACCATGCCGTTCCAGGTTCAAGGATAAAACCCATCAGGCCCAAGTGCCATCATCTTCTCCTTCCAGAGTCTTCCTCCATAATTGGGAGTCATCCTGGCTGAAAAGCTCAGTTTAACAGCAAGGTGAGTGTACTGTTTCCTAAAATATTTTGTTAGTTAGTTGGCCCAGAATTTCAGAGTTATGACTCATAAATGACTATTCTTTGCTCTAAAAGATAGCCAAGTTAAAAAGGAGTTTTGGCTGAATCTTGTGTCTTCCTTGTTCTTACTGTTTGCTGGAACTGATGTGCTGTGATGCTGATATGAATGAAGGCCCGTAGGGAAGCAGTGAGTCCAAATACGAACTGTAGAAAAGAGAGGGAAGAGCAAGGAGGTTATTTCATCATTTCTCACTGCCTAGTGGTCATTGTACTGATAAGGCAGGGTCTGAAACTCTGTCATCCTCTCTTCACTGGGACACAGGCTGCTGACGACAAGCATTCTCTGTCAACATCAGCAGCAGCCTTTCAGTGGAAAGTAGTAACAAATCTTGATAAAGAACGAAGATGGTCTCTTTCGAGAAGGATGACTATAATGAATTTTTCACATTACCTCAATAACGTCCTTTATTTTCAACAGGGAACAAAAAGCTATGCTATCACATACTGCCATGGCGAAGCCGCGGAAACAGCAAGCATCAGCTCTCATGAAGGAAATCCATGGAAATGGTATCACAACAAACCCTTCACAGCCCTAACGTAGGACAGCATTAATACAGACCCTTCCTCTTAACGCTCTGTACTTCGTTTCCTTCAGTACATAACAGACGTGGCGCTCTAGGGGTGTCGAGAAGCCTATGGTAACTAATCCTTTTGTAGTCATCCTTTCTCATTTGGAAGCTATTTTCAGATGGACAACTGCTGTAGGAGGAATGAAGCAAGCTGACAGCTGATGTACATTCCCTTGGCTTGCCTCTCACTATCAGTGAACATGACTCCTCATTTTTTGGCTTGTTTTTGGACAAGTTTCATACAATCTTATCTTTTTTATTCTATTTTATTTTCACTTCATAAAAACTCAAAATACATTCTGTCATCCTTTAAAAATTTTATGAAAATGATTGCAGAGGAATTCATATTTTATCTACCCTGCCACCAGTATTCCCATTTAATAATTGATTTAATAACATATTTTGTGATCAAAATCTACTTTTATTTATAGTTTCTGAAAAATAAAGTTCTTGTAATCACAAAACAACACTTTAGTATATGATAGATGCAAGGTATTAGCTCACGTTGTCCTTTAAAAAATTCTACAATAACTTTAGAAAGCAATGTTTTATATCTTATGCTTTGATTGTCACAAAGGAAATTCATTTTGTTCATGAAAAGGAGAGCATACTTTCCAAAGTGAACTTGAATACCCAGACCATTTGAAGGCTGACCTGAGCCAGTGCAGACACATCTGTGGGATCTGCAGGGTGCGTCCTTACTCTCCTCCCAACAGCGGATGGAGCCTTTCACCCTGATAATGTTGACATCTACAGGCGTGAGACCTCATAGGAGCACCTGGAAACTGGGTTCAGAGTAGTATTTTCATAGTATCCTTTGTATGACGCAAGCCAGAAAAAACCAAAGACTCTTACAATTTCCCCACACACTGCAGTCCTATTGAAAAGTCCTATTCCATTTTGTTTTCTGTGATATCAAATCACTGTGCTGGCTTCCCCCTTGGTTCTCATATTTTATTAACTTAGAGTTAAAAAATAAGAAATAGTCCAATCTGGATACCAGACTGTATCAATCCAAAGTTCCAAATTCCATGCATCTTTTAAATGTGTGTGCATCTTTGTGTGCCCTGCTTCAGGTCATTTGCTTGAAATTGTATGGGCTTCTTAGTCAATAAGGCAAAAATTGGATAATCACTTAAGTTTGAGACTGAATTTTTTATATTAAAACACTCTGGCTAAATCATGTTCTAACTACATTATACTAACAAATATAATATAGTCTCAGTCTAAGTTATGTGCTGGATTCTAGTCTATATTAGCATTGTTAAAGATCTATGAGGGTAAAGTTATATCCCGTTAATTTTTATAGACATAACCATTGGAAGTTTTATTAAGAAAGTGTATTAGGAAAAATAAATAATAGTGGCACACACCTTTAATCCCAGCACTCGGGAGGCAGAAGCAGGTGGATCTCTGTGAGTTCAAGGCCAGCCTGGTCTACACAGTGAGTTCCAGGGCAGCTGGGGCTACAGGGAGACCCTGTCTCAGAAAGACCAAAAAGAATACAATTTATCCCAAAGGAGACACTGCATTCTCTCCATCAAGCAGTTGTGGCCATCACTCCATCACTGGATGAAAGAAATGGGGGAGGGAGGCAGTAAGCTTGATCCAATTTACCAGAGTCCTGCAGAGCAGGTCTGTCTGCCTGATCCTGAGACTGGGAATTTGGTGGTGAGGGGACCGCCTGGGTGAAAACTTAGGGATCTATGTCAGGGTAAGGGGTTAATCTGGTTTGGGAAGGTAGTCCTGGGATTTGGGGTTAAGGAATAGAAGCCAGCCTGTGAGAGAGGCCTGCAGGGACAGTGATGAGAGGAATGGGGTAGCTAGTCCTCCTGTGGAGAATGAGTTGGAGCCAAGGCTGGGCCTGCCTGTGAGAGAGGCCAGCAGGGGATGAGGTGGGAATGGAGCCTGCCTGTGAGAGCTTTTTTTTTTAATCGGTAATTCCCATTCTCTAATTATTACACCTAAATTGTTGCTCATTATGGACCATTGTGATTGGGTGTCAAATTACATACCAGAAGCAGACTACATGCCAACAAACAGCTGGTAAAAGTATCCAGGGCCTATCAGATGGCTTATCAGGTAAATAAAGGCTCTTGCCTCCAAGCCTGATGATCTGAATTTAATCGCAAGAACCCACATGATGGAAAGTGAAAACATACTTCCACAAGCGTGTGAGTGCATATGTGTGCATATACCCCCCAACACACAAATAAGTCAATAAGTGTTTCTTTAAAAAAAAAAAAAAATCTCTCACCCAGGCTGTCTCATACCATAAAGCAATCATGATCATCATCTTACTGGCCTTAGGGGAGCTAAGGGGGAAGCTGCCTTGTGTCACTGCTGCAACAAAACCTCTGTACTTCACACAACAGCAGCTCAGCCATGGTTGCTGGCATCTAACAAGTGCTATCGTGAAAGGCAAAGACTACAAGAAGTATTGTGTACTATCTGGACATGAATTAATCGTGAGGACAACCGAGTCCACAACAGTCCCCTGCCCCCTCGTCCTGTGCAGCTCACCTGGAATCCTTGTGTGTGTTCTACCATGAACTATAATCATTGCTTACTTAGTAACTCATTTCAAACATGGAGACTAGGGAGTAGGAGGACAGGAAGAAATTGGAAGAGGAAGAGGCAGAGCAGAATAAGAGGCACTTTAAAGCAACAGTATCAGTTCAGAGGGTGTGAAAAGAAATTGGAATTAAAACAACCAGAAAATGACGGGGAATGTGATGGTCCGTGACTTTAAATGCAAATATTGCTGGCAGCTCAGAGTAAGAGTTTCAATAGGAAAGGAAAAGGTGCTGCAAAGCCTGCTTGTTAACCTCCAGTTTTTCACTCCACTGTGAGCTTGCTTTCCCTCCCTCCCTCCCTCCCTCCCTCCATCCCTCTTTCTTTCTCTCTTTCTTTTTTGTGTTTTTGGTTTGTGGTTTTTCTCTTCATGACTGGTGAACAGCTTTCCCTGGAACACTGAAAAGAACTAGGCCAATTACTTGTAATTTCAGGAAGAGAGTTTAGCTTTGTGGTCTGAAAACAGAAAGCCCTGGTTCTAAATGGAGTGCTGTATTGATATGTATACATGGCTGCATCTAATCCTAAAATGCCCGGTTTCAAATTTCCTGAGCTTGCTGAAGTCAAGGAGCACTGTGTTTGTTTCCCTGTCAGAAACAAAAGAAAGAATAATATTGATACAAATCACAAGGATCCTTTGAAAAATTACAGAGTACAAGGTCTAGAATTTCAGGTGAAGGGTTATGTGACGACAGCTTTCACTTTTCCTGTCCATCAAAGTTTCAGTATCAAAAGGAGAATGGCAGGAATTCCTAATGTACCTCAAGTATCGAGCAAGGAGGACAAGTCACTGTCACTTTTCACGTCATCACTGCTGTAATCTCTGCAGTAAGCAGAGCCCTTTGAAGAGTATGTCCTTCAGAGAGCTGGTACCAGTGAACAAGGCAGAATGATACTTGATACCGAAGTTGAAATTTTAGAATTTAATTTTAGCAATACTATCCCATTATCCTAGTTTTCTATGAGCCTTTTCCACTGCACTATGTTCTTTTGCGTTCTGTACATAGCACTGGACGGTTCTGTTTGTACAGCTTGTGTAATTCAAAACATTAGCAATTTCATTTCCTAAATATTTAGATTCTTTAAAAATTTTTAAATTATATTTTGAATAATGGCATAGTCACAAAAAGCTTTATAAAGTAGGATTAAAACTCAAAATGAAAACACAAATTGAAGGTCAGGTTTGGTGGCACACACCTTTAATCCCAGCATTTAGGAGGCACCAGCAGGTGGATCTCTTTGAGATCAGGCCAGCCTGGTCTATATAGTGAGTTACAGGCCAAACAAGGCTACATAGTGAGACCTTGCCTCAAAAAAGTGAAACAAAACATGGGTTTAAGAGCACTAGCTGCTCTTCAGAGGATCTGGGTTTGATTCCCAACACCCACATGGCAGTTAACAACTGACCATAAGTCCAGTTCCAGAGGATCCAACACCCTCTTCTGATCTCTGGGGCATTGTATGCATGGGTGTGCTTATATACATGCACACAAAATACTCATACACATAAAACAAAAATAAGTTAAACTAGACAAAAACAACCAATACCCCTCAAATCATGACAAAAATATTTGAAATAGGAAAACAAAGAATCCCAGGTGGGTTTCAAATTCATTTTCATCTAAGAAAAAAGTTATCAGTAAACTTTTATGAAATGGAAAGTTTTCAGGCATTATTTAAGGTCACAGTCCAGACTACAATATTTTCTGTTATACAGGACTATGTAGTACATATTATGTAATAACAGATTTTATGGACTATTATTCTATTCATATAGAATAGATGAATACCTATAGATAGGGTCCTATGTAAGTGCAGAGTCACCCTAAGTAAAATAAGCTTCAGTTAACTGACCTCCTGTGTTTTCATCCACTCTATTAGGATTGTATTTGCCTGTCAATCATGAGCAAACCGTTTTACAAGACCTTTTATCGTACTACAATTATTTGTAAGTGAATTACATTCATGGATCGGATTATAGTTCTAGACCACTATAAATGACACCAGTAGGAAAGTATGTCTAGCAATTTTATTTTCAATAGATGATCTAATGCCTTGAAGACAGCGTCCTAAGCCATGAAGGCAAAGATGTGTATCCTGAATTCCTGAATAAGACATATCATTTATCAGGCATACAGATTAAACACACTGTTATGACCTTGTGCAGGGGGTTGCAATAAAGGGCAGGAGACAGCTGAACTGTTGAGTCTGTGTGCTCAGTAAACAGCATTCTTCACGGAAAGTTTGAGTAACGAGCGTGATCATGCATTAGAGTCCCAGCTCACAAATGGCCCTGAAAGTCCTGCTTCTGAGATATCATAAACTTAGCTTAAAAAGCCATGGGAAGGAAACCTTAGAGAATTTAGTTTGTCTTTTTTTATGCAAAGTATGTTGACTTAATATACTACTGACATTGATGCATGTGTCTAGTGGTATGCTTGTAAGCATTTAACAGCTGGTTCTCTGGGGAGAAAAATGATGCTTTCATTTGTAGTTTGCCAAATTTTGCAGTAGAAATACTCTCACCATGGTCAAGCTCAAGCTCCTATTGTAGAGATACTAAATGAATTGTGGGAAGAGAAGTAGGGTAAAACAACATCACACATGAACTTCTAGAGTAACGGTATAGTAAGTACTATAGTATTTTCATATTTCCTCACATAGTTATGATACAAATAACCTCACGGTCATAGAAATAATGGCAAAAAGTAGTAAGGGAATTATAAAGTGATACTTTTGAGTAGTTATTGCTTTGAGTATGATGTAATTTTTACCCATGGTCTTACCATTTAGCTCAGGCTGGCTTCCTATTTATGATCCTCTTGCCACAGTCTGCCAAGTGCTGGAATGACAGGGCTACGCCACCATGCACAGCCAGAAAATTCTCTTCTTTTTTTCACTGCTGTGAATGAAACAAGGCCTCATACATGCTAGGCAAGTTCTCTACCACTGAGCTACATCCACAGCCCTATATAATATCTTTTGGAGTGTCCAGGGACAGGGTTTCAAGTAGCCCAAACCAGCCTTGAACTTACTATGCAACTTAAGTTGACCTTGAGTTCCCGATCCTCTGCCTCCACCTCCAGAGTACTGGGACTATAGGACGTACTACCACATCTGGCTAATAATTTTAATAATGATGTGTTCACTAGCTTATAGAATCCTGAAAACTTATCAGTTGGTGCTGTCAGCTAGTACAAGTTCCAGCAATCACTGAGTTTATTACGCAGTGCTTCTGAGCCAGGACAGCCAGAGGCTTTTCAGTCACTTGAAGGCAATATGAAGTGGGAAGGAGAACATTTAGGGTTACGATGTGGACTGGGATGGAATGGAATGAATAAGGTGAGAGTTGGTCAAGTCATTTGGATGCCTCCTCCTTTCTGTCTCGTTTTCCCTCTCTGGGAGCATAAATTTACAATCAACAATGGATTATATTCACTGATTATTTCTTTGTGTATCCTGCCATTGAGGACACATATGTTCTGGTAACTGTGGTTGCACATTTATTCCTTGTGGCAGCTTGTGGTGAGTTGATAAAGAGCAATAATTATTTCTTGTGAAACCAGTGCGCCTGTAACCAAGGCTGTAAATTTTTTTTTTTCAAATACCTCTCCTAGCTCCTTCTTGATTCACGACCTTACTATGGGGTTCCAGCCAGCCTCACTGTGATTCTAATTTTAACATACTCTTTATTCTTAAATTAGTAGAGAGAAAAAACTACATGAGGCAGCATGCTTTTAACAGAAAATAACTAGCTAAACAATAAAGGAAATCCTCTGGTTTCCATATCTGAAGAGATCAGATGTGATCTGCTTGGCTTCATCAAAGGCTTATATGTATACCCAGAAATTCATCTCTACGTTAACTTCCTTTGTCCCAGAACTAGTTCTGTTATTCTACCAAGGACTGCATATTCCAGTAAACACTCCTCACAGTCTAATTATCATAGATAATTTGTCATATCATCTATGATTGATGTCTCAAAGTAATTATTTGCCTAACAGTTCCGATTTTCTTCCTATGAACTTAACAAAACTTTTCAGTGGAAAAAAGATTCTGTGAGTTATATATAGAACCAGAAATATATTCCTGATTCTAAAAGCAAATGAAGAAGCCAGACATGGTGGCACACATGTGCAATCTTAGCATCTGAGGAGGTCAACACAGGAGGGTCATTAGTTGAAGGCTGTCCTGGGCTATAAACCAGTCTCAGGAAAAGAAATAACAACAGAATATCACTATGTAGCCCAAGTTGACATCAAACTCACTATGTCACTCAGGCTGGCCATGAACCCATGATTGCTGGGATTACAGGCATGCACCAACACTCTCAGTTGAAAATAACACTCATTACTAAAGTTCTACATTTAACTCACAGAAGATATAAAATTAAAACCTAAGCAAAGTTCAAACCATAAAGCAATTGTGATTTGGTGTTATTGTGTGTTGTTGGGACTACAAGGAAGCGTGAGTAATCCATTACGCATGGATTTTAGAGAAGCAAGTCACAGAGCTGATTGGAAAAGATTCCCTTCTGGATATCTCACCTGCCTCTATGCAGGCTGCTTGGGGCTGGACACAATAACCAGCATTGCCACCAAGTCTCAGAAATGGAGCTGGAGGGGGGTATGCACTTTAGTACTAGGCAGAGTTCAAGATAAGACATAAAAATGTGCTTGTTTATTTCCAGACAGGGTCTCCCTGTATCTCCAGCTGGCCTGGAACTCACTATGTACACCCAGCTGGTCTTGATCTCATAGAGATCCACCTGCCTCTGCCTCCCATGCCGGGCCTGATATGTAAAACTGTGAGGAAAAAACAGAGCTTATGAATTATGAGGCAGTTGTTTGAAAACTCAGTAAATATGGAAAGACTAAATTACACTGTGAGAGTAGTGACAACTAAGTTTAGTCCCTTTCTATATGCCTGATATCATGCTAAGTGGTTTATGTGAAGCATTTTATTTAATTCTCATATCAACTCTTCACAGTACTTATTATTTTCATTATTATTAGTTAGACATTAGAAATGGGGAAATTGAGGTTTAGATAAAATAAGCCACATATCTATGAGCATGCAGAAAAAATGGTGAATGGTCCAGTTTTTAACCAAAATCAGCCTACTAAAGAGCCCACATCTCAATCACTACAATATTGTAAAGCAGGAAACAAACATTAGAGTTTAGGAAAGCATTTTAAATTGCATGATTTGGGTTTTAATGCATGGGAATATTGTTTTACAGATATAGATGGCATGGACCTGGGCAAAAAGGTCAGCATCCCCAGAGACATCATGTTGGAAGAATTGTCCCACCTCAGTAACCGGGGTGCCAGGTTGTTCAAGATGCGTCAAAGAAGATCTGACAAATACACCTTTGAAAATTTCCAGTACGAATCTAAAGCACAAATAAATGTAGGTATAACTACCGTGGAATGTCTAAATGAGTGGGCGCCACACCTAGGGTCATATGTGTCATTAGACTCCCAAACAAATTGTTCTACATATTTCCTTTCAGTGAATTCTATTAGACATTATTTTTCATGACCATGAATAGCTTAGGTGGGTAAACAAAGGCAGCATTGTATATGATATGAGCATGCTTTTTGTTCAACAGGGACACTGTAAGCTGTAGATTTGGCACTGAAGAACTGGCCTGTTTTGTTAGGAGAGGGAGAGGGAGTGAAGAGTTGTTGTACTAAAAGTTTCCAAGTCTTATCACCACCAGTTAAATGTTTGTGATGGAAACACATCCAAAGCACATAGTGCGCCACACAGTAAGGGTAAGCCTTGTATCTGCTGAGTACATCCTGGTACATCCTGACCCTGCCAATACTGAGAGCGACAAGCTCCATCAGTCTCCTCTCAAAGTATTCATTCTCTTTGGGCTAAAAAAACAGCAAAACTTTAATGTACTACATTTGATTTCACAGCTAGGTGTGGTGGAGCACACTTGTAATCCCAGCATGTGGGAGGCAGAGGTGGAAGAGTCATCCACAGGTTCAAGGCCATAATAGTGAGTTTCAGGCAGCCAGGACTACATAATGAGAGCATATCTTACAACAAATCAAGAAACAAAAACTAGATTTTACATATTGTGTTAAGATCATATGCATTCAAACAGTCATTTAGAAAAATTGTAGAAAAGGAAGTTAGTTTATAACAGATAATCAGCTAAGGGGAAAATGGCTTTGCTTTTTATTTTTATTGCCTTGCTATACTTTTGAATAAGTAAAAGAAAATTTCTGAGATGTAAGGATTTAATGCAATGGTAGAATCTCTGCTGGCCTGTTCAAGGCACAGTATTCAACCCCTAGCACTACAATCAATCAACCAAGCAATAAAATACCTAGGTTAATTCTAGTGATAATTGTAAGTTCAGTTAGATATAAAGTCATGCTCAGCTAAAGTATTGTGAAGAATAATTTTTTCACTTGAAGTCAAGGATAAATATATGTTATGTTAGCCTATAATTATACATAGTATCCTGTTATCAGAAAATGTCTCTAGTTAATACAGTATGAGCCGAAAATAATCTATACTTACCTGACAGTCTATTATATAATCACATTCATCAAGTAAAGACAATGAAGAGGACATTTTATGAAATAATATGAAATAGGTGACTTAAGGAAAGTCTTCCAGAACCATCTAAGTTCGGATATCTCATTAAGTGAATAATGCCAATTTTCATAAATTCTTATTATATTGTTAATAATAATACAGTAACTAGGTTCTGAGGTATACTCAATGAGATTAAAAGTGTCCCTATGAATATAACATATTTTCGCATCATTGCTGTCCTAAGTTGTGGGTAATAATGTTATATAGCTATTTTTAGATATTCTAGTTATCCAACAGATGCATCAAGATATGTTCTGAGAATTTTTCACTATTCAAGAAAGTTGGACACTAAATGAAAAATATAGTCTCAAACAGACATACTAAGATAAACAATTTAATGATGATAAATACCAAGAGCAGTAAAAAGTAATAAAGGATGCAGTGACGAGGCATTGCATTGGATTACATCATATACTCTGAAGTCTGGTAAGATTTGATCTCTTTTCTTTAGGGACGAGGAAAGTAGTATTCAAAAGTATTGGTTATACTTAAGCGACAGGGTAAAGGAGAATGAAGCTTGGCTCTTAGAAGTGAAGTTGTTGTCTTCATACTGACAAAGCCAGTTGGCAAAACAAAGTGGATGGGGGAAGTTTCACAGGGTCCCACCTCAGAGGAAGAGCTACAGGCAGTCTATGGATGCTGGGGGAGGGAGAATCAGTTTTCTCCAAGGACTAGCTCCCTGAGGGGTTATTTAATTCCAAGTGAGCAGCCCTAAACAGGGTATGTACACGCACCACTAAATGGAGTCACTGCATTATATGCATGTATATGTGGTGTGTGTGTGTGTGTGTGTGTGTGTGTGTGTGTGTGTGTATGAATGTATATAACAATACTAATCCAAGAAAAGGCAAGAAATTGAGGGAGAGTTGGGAGGACATGGGAGGAGTTGGGGGGAGATGGGAGAGGTGGAAATACAATGCTTGTATATGGAATTCTCAAAAGTAAAAAATTAATATTCCACAAAACTGAAAAAGCATTCTAGTCATTGTAATCAACACATCTCATGTGCATTCAAAGGAAAATATAACAATACTAATCCAAGAAAAGGCAAGAAATTGAGGGAGAGTTGGGAGGACATGGGAGGAGTTGGGGGGAGATGGGAGAGGTGGAAATACAATGCTTGTATATGGAATTCTCAAAAGTAAAAAATTAATATTCCACAAAACTGAAAAAGCATTCTAGTCATTGTAATCAACACATCTCATGTGCATTCAAAGGAAACTCTGACCTGGAAACCAAGTGATGAGGGCTTGGTGTTGGCTCTCCTATTAACCATGTGAGCTGGAGTTAAGTTACAAGTTTCTTTGCTTTTCTGAATTTCTTTTCTTGTCTGAATAATGTAGGTATGGACCTAAATGCTCTCTAAGGCACCTTCTAACCTGCACAGTCTCTGTGTTCTATGATTTTAAATCTAAAATATGCCTCAACAACAGCACTGACTGAGAAAGACAACATATATGCTGATATGCCCACTTCCTCAAGGTCCCAGACGCACTTGGAACCCTGTTAATATGATGAATTTTTTAAAAGAATGTCTATTCCCATTATTTAATTTATACTTTTACAAATATCTATGAGTGGCTATTATTCTGTAGTTTGTTGAATGTTCAAAGATGAATAAACACAGCCTTTGCCTAGAGATAATAAGACCAAGTAACAGCAAAAGATAAGAGTAATTATTTTCTTACAATCTGGCTCTTGAATCGTTTTTATATGATTTATATCACATGAGCTTAATTTATTATTTTCTGAAGAATCCTTTTACTTTTACCATGTTCCCTGAGCTATAGACATTTTCAAAATAATTATTTAGTTTATATGTATAGTTTATATTTTATGTTTAGAGTCTCATATAGATGAAAACATGTCAGATTCCCCACTAATCAATGTCATTATCACAAATTCCATTATTATTTATTTATTTATTTATTTGTAGCCCAGGCTGACTTCCAGCTTGCTATGTAGCCAAGGCTGGCCTCGAACTCCTTATCTTCCTGTTTTCGGCTCCCAAGTACTAGGATTATAAATGTGCACCACCAAAACGAGCTTAATCTGCTACTTAGGAGCACAGGAAAATTCAAGCCACATGTACTTCTTGCAACATAAACAATCATGTCTACAAACACGAGTTCCTCAAGAGAATGATGAAATATCACTTGCTATGTGAACCAGTTGAAGCCCTAGTTGATAAAGCCATTAATGTCTTAGATAAAAGGCAAAGAAAGAGAAACGAAATAGATGAAGAAAATCGTATTCAAGAGAAAATAAAATGGAAGAGGAATTAATGATAATTAAAATTTTCTTCTATAAATCACTGTAAAAGGATATTGGGAAAGTGTACTATAAAAGGTAATTCTGAAGTAAGACCAAACAAGCTATACTGGGAGTATGAATGCATATGTATTGCATTTTGTTAAAAAGTAACTTCTATGTATTTGACACAAAGTGTACAACAACCCAAAACAAGACCTATTTTTATTAATGTTTATGGAGAAATTATGTACTGTATATTGTCTATTTCTTTTTAACTTCCATGTTTCTAACCTGTAAGTCACTATTCTGGCTTTATTTTCTTTAGGGTTAGCCTCACTAAACAACAAGGCACATTTTCATTTGTCTTTTCAACATTTCTGAAGGGAAGTACAGAGGATGATGAACACTATAATTTAAGGCTTAGGTCATAACTAAAGTCCCCACCTGAGCATTGTAAGGCTTTGTTTATGCACTAACCAATGATCATAGAGGTATCCGGCCCCTCCTGCTAGTGACTAACAAAAGAGTTTATGTTCCTAATCATCCTAATCTTCAGGAAGCGGCTCCAGCTACACTCATGACTCCAGGATGAACGTAGGTAGGACTAGTTGTGCACATAAGTGAGATTCCTTTCCAGGACACATTCTAGGAAGTTAAGAAGGTAATTCTTTATTCAGTATGCCTTTACAACTGAGCGTGGCAGGCTGTTTTTAAGGCGGTAGAAGTAACTATAGCTAATCAAGTCAAACACTCAAGATAGGTGCTGAGTTCAAAATGTAAAACACTGAGTTTATATGTATATATGTAAAAATGCTGTATGTTCAGTACTTGTTAAAATAGTCTTTGTATAACCACAAGAGTTTAGACAGATTATGAACTATCTGGGGACCCACAATGACATAAATGTGGTAAGGCAGTCTATGTGCAAGGGTAAAGCCGTTAACAATAAACAGGTTTGCAATTAGATATACAATGTTAAAGTTTTTTTAAATGTTTAAAATTTCAATATTTTCGCTATAAACTTGAACCTCAATTAGAAGTAGCTATGAGAAAATTTCCAAAATCTCTTTTTAAGTTCTAATAAAGAGTAAGTATTTTGTTCAAAAAGTTATTCTTTGGAAATATTACATTCCTGGAAAGTTCACACATGAAGCCAGATTATCATTATTTTATAAATGTAATTTAAATATTTTATTTTTTATGTGTATGGGTGTATTGCCTGCATGTATGGAAGTGCACCCATGTCATGCAATGCTCACAGAGGTCAGAAAAAGGCATCGAATTCCCTAGAACTGGAGTTAAGGACAGTTGTTAGCCACCATGTAGGTGCTGGGAATCGAACATGGGTTCTCTACAAGGGCAGTCAATGCTCTTAACCACTGAGCCATCTCTCCAGCACCTACAAATGTAATTTTGTAGATGTAAATTTGTAGGTGTAAATTTGTAGGTGTACAAATGACAATTTCATTTTATCAGTATTATTATCAGCATTAACTAAATGGGGTTTTTCATGAGAAGCAAAAGAACAGAGGATAAGATCAGACTCCAGGTGCAGAGGCAGACATTTGTGTGTGCTACAAAAACAAGCAGGCACAGGGCACTGACAGAGTGCACGTGGCTCAGCCAGGAAACTGAGGAAATGTGCTCCCTTATAACTTACAGCCTTTATTTCTGGTATTTGAATTTTAGGACAAAACAGATTTTATCATCAAATTTCTATGAAATTAAATAAATATTAGATAAGCAAAGTTTTTTTTCACCAAAAACTAACAAATAAGTATAGAAATGAAAAAGCATTAGTTGGTATTTTTCTACACATCACGCAGGGAAAAAAGCTAACCAAGACCGGTCTCTGCAGTTTCTCAGTAAGGTTTTCTTTCTGATTTTGATCTTAAAGATTTCTCCTTTTTGATTTATTTTAATTTCACATGTATGAGTGTTTTGCCTACATATGTTTAAGTGCACCACATGTGTGCAATGCCTGCAGAGGCCAGAAGATGATGGCCTCAGATCCCCTGGAACTGGAGTTACAGACAGCTGTTAGCCTCCATGTGGGTGCTGGGAATTGAACCCAGGACCTTTGCAAGAGCAGCCAGTGCTCTTAACCACTGAGTCATCTCTCTGGTCCCATACCCCTTAAAAAAATTATATATTTCTTTTATATAGAAATGATACCTTAGCATAAGAATAAGGCCTCACTGTATTTCCAAGGACATAACCTACTATTATGCCTGTTTCTCTTTTAAAAATGCAAATGCTTTGTAAGGTGTTTGGTTGTTGTAGAATTAATTCTAAATTATAGACTACAGAAAATTCACTTAAGACTAAATATCATGGCCATTCTTTATCAAGTCCATAGAAATCAAAATGCATGTAGTTTTTCCATTTATTCGATGGGGGTGTGGGATGCCTGACAGCATCCAAATCTCATATAAGGTTTTAAAACTTCTTCATACTAGAGAATTTAAAGCTTATCTATAAAACACAATGTTGGGGCTGGAGAGATGGCTCAGTGATTAAGAGCACTGGCTTACAGAGGTCTTGGGTTCGATTCCCAGCACCCACTTGGTGGGTAACAACTGTCTGTAACTCCAGTTCCAGGGGATCCAATGCCCTCTTTTGGCCACTTCAGGCAATGCACAATATGACTGCACCCTACCTACATCCAGGTAATACATTCATACACATAAAATAAAAATATTTTAAAAACCACAATGCGAATGTAAAAAAATCTCTAGGCCAAATGTTTGACCAATATGCTTTACATTATTAGATTAGTAAAGATTTAAAAATTAAGCATGTTTTTCATAGTGATATTGTGACTATAAAATCAAATAACTGCTATGAAGCTCTAGATACAGTGGTTTGCACACAGTAAGACTCAATTAATTTTAGCTTTAAGTTTTGTTAAGTGACTTGTCATTATGAGACGATCTTAAATTCACATACATGACATTTTTCATTGGACCAGTCACCTTTTTGTTTTTGGTCTCTTTGAGACAGGGTCTCCCTGTAGCCCCACCTGTCCTGGAACTCACTATGTAGACCAGGCTGGCTCTGAACTCAGAGATCTGCTTGCCTCTTCCTCCCAAGTGCTGATATTAAAGGCGCGCACCACCATGCCTGGCCCATTCACCTTTTTACTATGTACATTTTTGAGGACTTATGAAACAATATAGTGACATTTTGTTTAATTTCTAGATACTCAAATGGAGTCTCGTATTTATGGCCACTATTAATGTGTCTAACAGTTTAAACTTACTTTTAATCAAATACAGCACAACATTGCTATGCAGAATGGGAAAATGGATGGAAGCAACCTGGACGGTGGCTCACAGCAAGCCCCCTTAACTCCTCCCAACACCCCAGATCCACGAAGCCCTCCAAATCCAGAGAACATTGCACCAGGTAACTAATCTCCTTCAAATGCAACAATAAAATTGCTATGTATATGAAGTCATGACTCTTTTCAGGCCTTGGCTAAATGGCATTTAAATGACATAGCTTTTCTCATTAAACATTCATTTTGTAGATAAGCTTAAGATAAATGTAAAAATTCAAAGGGAAAGGAATCATGTAAAATATAATAGTTTTATGTTCTTTCAGATGGTCTATGGTATTTACTTTAAAATTTTATTTACTTATTTTCTTGCTTATTTTCTGTGTCTGACCTCCACTGAGTGCGTGTGGAAGTCACAGGACAATTTTCAGGCATCAGTTGTAACCTTGAGACCAGGCCTTTCTTGCTGTTTCTGTCATGGCACAGGTTACTCCAGGCTAGCTAGCCCTTGGAGCTTCTAGCTGATTCTCTTGTCTCTGACTCCCATCTCAGGGTAGGAGAGCTAGGATTGCAGATGCAAGTGAGTCCTGAGGATCAAGCCCAGGTCATCAATCTTGATGGGCTAAACTTTTATCTACTGAGCCATCTACCTCCCTGGCCCTGGTCTATGGGTGTTTCTTAACAGTCACCTCATATATGGAAAATGAAGACATTTGTAGTTAGATTGAAATTATATGTGTTGTGAGACCATATAATCTATAAAATGTAATGGCATATATTATTTTAATTTCCCAATAGCTATGATATTAATTGAAATCTTCATTTTATAGATGAGGACTTAAGTTATAAATCTATGAGGACATACTGATTAATGAAGGATTAAACTCATGTCTGGTACCAAACTTACAGATATTTCTTGTAAAGTGACCTTGTGGAGATTTCTTTCATCGGTCTTTGTTTTTTGAAAAAAAAAATTATTGGTTTTTACTTTATGTATATGAATGTTTTGCCTGCATTTTGTAAGTGCACCCACGTCATGCAATGTCAGAAGAGGGTGTCAGATCCCCTGGAACTGGAGATACATAGGGTTGATAGCTGCCATGTGAGTGCTGGAAACTGACCTGAGTCTCCTGCAAGAACAGTCAGTGCCCTTAATTATTGAACCATTTCTCCAGCTACTCTTAAAGGACTTTACATGCAGTCTTTTAAGCATCTATTTGTCCAGATAGGGATGGCTCATTACTGTAATCTTAGTACTCTGGAAGGTAAGGCAGAAGGATTATGGCCTTCAGGCCAGCCTAGGCTACTTAGACCCTGTCTCCAGAGCATGGACCCACACCCAGGAATACTTGGGAGGCACAGATTGGAATCTATAGGCTTCCGGGAAAAAAAAAAAAACAAAAATTAAATAAATAAAAAATTTGCTTACTTCCTATGAATAATTCAGCATATCAACAATCTTTTGAAAATCTTAAAATGATCACGAACCATTTGTCTGGGGAGTGTTTAAAGCCCTCTGAGCCGGGGCAGCCGTGACATGATGAGGATTCTAGTTCAGAAGGCCTGGGCAACAGTGTGGAGTGTGGCTCACAGAGTGTCAAGGAGCTGAAGGGCTCGTGGCAAGGCCACTGTGAAACCTAGGCTAGAAGTAGACGAGCCTGAGCCAGGCAAGCAGTAATGGCATGGGCAGGAAGAAAGACTGTTCTAGAGCAACAACTCACACAGTTCTATCTACAGACTGCATATAGAGGACTTGAATGAGAATTCATGAAAAAATGTGAATTTGTAGTGTATATTTAAGATTTACAGAAGCCAAGTTCTTAGTTTTCAACTAAAGAACTATTCACAATGACAGAAACACAATTTTTGGCCAGCAAGTATTGTATGAAATCCTTAAGAAGTAGAGTTGATAATGTTTAGAGATTTGTGAGTTTGAGGAAGCTTTTAGGAAATGCTTTGTCTCAGTCCTAAGTATGGTTTGACAGATGAAAATCAAAAACATTTTAGATATGAAAGAGCATCAGGGATACCTAAAGTAGAAGTGATTAAATGGTGAGAGAGTGTGGGACCTGGCCCAGTGGTGCAGGGGTCAAATTGATGACTGTGCTTTAGAATGCTTTGAAATGATTTTAGATTCTGTCAGAAGTTTCTGAGGTTTTAGTTATGTATAAGTTTGTGTCAACTTGACAAAAATTAAACAGCACAAATATATATTGTGATAATCAAGGAAAAAATAACATGATTTGGAAAAACTAAACATTAAAATTAAAAATTTTGTCTTCTTTCCAGAATTCTGTAAGCTTAAAGGAATTTTTAAATGGCTAATTTCTAAATGCTACGTTCTGATGGATCAGAGAAAGGATGAATTCTTCATAAATTTACCCCAGCAAAAAAAGAATTGAACACAGAAAGATGTTAGGTGGCGTTTAGTAACTCTGGACACTCTGTTTACCCACACTCTTATTTTATCTTTCCAAAGGCTATTCTGGACCACTGAAGGAAATTCCTCCTGAAAGATTCAACACCACGGCTGTCCCTAAGTACTACCAGTCTCCCTGGGAGCAGGCCATTGGCGATGACCCAGAACTCGTAGAGGCTTTGTATCCTAAACTTTTCAAGCCTGAAGGAAAGGCAGAACTGCCTGATTACAGGAGCTTTAACAGGTAATTCTGTCATCCAGGGTGACTCTATGGATATGCAATACTAAGATACTTTACAGTATAGAGAGTCCAAACCCTCTGCTAGAAAAACATTTTTCCTCTAAGAAAAGAACCTAAGTAGAAATACAGGGTATCTACTGAGTCTGGGTGACCGCTCATGTTTGCAGTGTTACTAATACTTAAAAAAGTAATGTGTATGTGTGTTGTGTGTGTGTGATGTGATGTGTGAGTATGTGTGTGTGTGGTGTGTGTGTGATGTGCGAGTGTGTGTGTGATGTGTGTGTGTGATGTGTGATGTGTGTGTGATGTGTGACTGATGTGTGAGTGTGTGTGTGATGTGTGTGAGTGTGGGGGGGTGCACACAGGCCATGACACACGTGTGAAGGTCAGAGGACAGCGTTGTGAAGTTGGTTCTCCCCGTGCACCTTCACATGAGTTCTGGGGATCAAACTCAGGCTGTCAGTCTTGTGTGGCAAGTGTTCTTCCCACTTAGCCATCTCACTGCCCCAATATTACTAATACTTTCAACCTTATTCCTTTTTAGCATAAAAAAAGGAAATCATCCGTAAATAACCACTGTTATAATCTCAAGATTATCCTCCATATTTTAAAAGTTATTTTCACATAACCCCTTCTAATTCAATGGTTAAACCTAGTTTATATATTATTAAAGTGACAATGTTGTTCAAGAATTTCAGAAATAATTTACATAGCTATGAGAATTATTGTGTAACTTCAGGCTGCAATTTATTTTTTTGCAGGATATAGGCCAGATTAAAGATGATTTAGAAATTTAATGGCCCAGGATTCGAGCTTATACACAAACAAGAGCTTTTGCTACCAAGAACATGTCCAAATCATATCTGTAGAATACTCTATACAACAGGAAACAATTTTCCCTGTTAATTTAAATTAATTTCCACGGGGGATTTTAGATATTGCTTAATAATTTGATTTTCATTTTAGAGTGGAATATCTCCAATATGCTGTCTCACACACAAAAAACTAAGATAACAAATTGAACTGACTTAAAACACGAGTCCACAAAACCTAGAGCCTTGTCTATTGCCCATATTGCTCTAGAAGTCTACAAAAACAACACCTAAAATGTGTGATCACAACTTTGGTTTAAATGCTTGCTAAGTGAATGAGGTTATTAAGAATTCACACAAGTAAGATTTCCATGTGCAGCGTTACAATTTCATAAAAATGTAAAACATTTAAATTTTTATCTTTCATTTATTAAAACAAATCTGTTTTGTTTGGTGGGGATTTGGTGCACATGCTGTGAGCACATATGTGGACAATTTGTGGAAAATGGTTCTCCTTTTTTACCATATGGGTCCCAGGGATCAGACTCAGGTCATCAGTCTCAATCGCAAGTGCCTTTACACAAGGAGCCATCTTGCCAGCACAATAGTAATTATTTTTAGAAAAGCTACTAAGATGATGGGTTCCTGATGACCTATATCTTGAAGAAAAGGAAAACCAAAACATAAGCTCAGTGTTTGGTACTACTTTTGTTGGAGATATTCATGAGTAAATCTGAGATGCCAAGAGGCTGAGCAAACGTGTTTCAAGTGCAGAAAGTGTGGAATGGCACTCGGTCTTCTGAGACAGGTGCTGGTGACGGCTGCAGGCTTTCAGCTGGAAATGTCAGATCAGCCCTGTGGAGTAAAGGCAAATAGTAGACCAACCTTCAACACACTCACTGCAGCTTCCAAGGTCAGCAGTCCCTCCTCTCAGGCACACTGCAGCCATGAAAAAGCGAGGCCTTTTGGGTGGTACCATTCAAGACTCAAATCACCTGTTTTTAAATTTTCTGTCAACTTTTTATGATAAAAAACCAGTAAAAATATGAGCACTTCAGCCATTTTTAAGGATTGCTTGGTAGCACTGACGACATTCTTAATGCTGTGCAACTGTCACCATGACATACTTTGTTGTAAAGCCAAAACTGCACTCATTAAACAATCACTTTTTGTGCCCCTCTTCCCTAGGTTTGACATAATTGTATTTTCTGTTTCTATGATTTTTCCTACTCTAAATATTTCAAATAAGTGAAATCGTATCACATTTGTCTTTTTAGACTGGTTTAGAATAATGCCCTATATTTCAAAAATTCTATTAAAGGTTTATATTATTATAAACTTCAAATTACTGCCTCTTTTAGAGGCAAGAAGATGTGTGGTTGAGCAGGGGTACATATAATGCTCTAGAACAGTTCCTAATATTTGCAGTAGTTCCAAGATTATTGGAGACATATTAATTAAATTATATTACATTACATTATGGACACTTCTGTACGAGTATTATATTAAATGACAGAAATGCTTTCAGCTCAGTTTACCGATTTAACGGTAGATTAGATACAGCTGAAGAGAGGACTGTGACATGATACAGGACAATGTTCCAGCTGAAACAGAAAAAGGAAAAGGAAGGGTTCCAAAGCAAGGGGGCAGCACACACTCTTGTACCCACACTGCCAGTCTGTGTGCAACGAGATCTCAGAAAGGAGGAAGAGATGTAACATGGGAAGAATTAATGGCCAAGAATCATTCCAAAATTGACAAATGACACACGGCCCTGGGTTTAAGAAGCACTGCATAACCTAAGAAGGGTAAACTGGACAATAAGGTAATTTTAAGGCCAAGGAATAAAATATACAGTATTTACAAAGAAATAAAAGTGAGTCGATTTCCTAACTGAAATGAAGGAAAATGGAAACCTTTAAAATAACAATATAAATACCAACCTATAGCTTTACAACATTTAAAGTATTCTTTAAAGGTTAAATTTTTAATATTTTATTATTTTTATTTTATACGTATGAATGTATTGTGTGCATGTAAGTGCACTGTGTCACACAGTGCTTGGAGATCAGAAGAGAGCATCGGATCCCCTGGAACTGGAGTTACAGACTGTTGGTAGCCACCATGTGGGTGCTGGGAACCAAACCCAGGTCACTGCAAGAGCAGTCAGTGCTCTTAACTGCTGAGTCATGTCTCCAGTCCCAAACCCCAAATATTAAAATGAAATTAGAAAGTTACATACACACTTTCAGATATCGACATTTGCTGATCCCTACTAAACAAGATGAAGTTGTCATTATTCACAGATGACACGATTACTTTTATGTGCCAGCAACAAACAACTAGAAAATAAATAATAACAATATTTATTAGTTGTACCTTCTGATTTATTTTTCTTCACTTAGGGTTATCTTGTACTCCAGTACAAATTTTCTTTTAAAAAAGTCACATGGACAAAGTAACCTCAGTAAAAATTACATGTGACAAAGGTCATTCTTTAAATTAGTCCAGAATATAGTCAGGTCATTTAAAAGAGAAATTAAATAATTTCTAGGTATAAAATGATTATTTCCCTGTTTAGGTTAACATTATTTTATCAAACTACTAATGAATTTGACCAAGAATTTAGTTCCTCAAATAACTATCAAACATATGTTTTAAAAGTAAGAGGTAATAAGTACCATTTTTTTCTTTTGTTTACTAAACGATTCAACAAGTTACTGTATTGAGACTTTATTCTGAAATAGCTCTCATTTTTGCAAACCAAATGGCAAAGATACTGAGAAAGAATAAACAACAAAGCAATTTCTAATCTCCCAAAGTCCTTGTAAGACTAATATTAAGTAAACTACTATTTGTACCCCTGTTGTATCAGTTACTTTTCTGTTGCTGTGACCAAAAACGACTTATGGATCCAAGAGTGAATTTTGGGGTTATGGTTCCAGAGGGGGATCCATAACGCTGGGGAGGCGTGGTGGAGGATGGCTGAAGCAGGAAGCCGAGCACTCTTCAACTGCAAACACCCAGCAGAGTGAACTAGAAGTGGGGCCGGGCTATAAACATTCAAAGCCCACCCTGGTGATGTGCTTCCTCCAGCAAGGCTGCACTTCCTAAACATTCTGTGATCTCCCCAAACAGCACCACCGACTGGGAACCGAGCGAGCGTTCAAATACTTGAGCCTATGGGAGGTAGTTCTCATTTAGACCGCCACACCCACACCTGTGTTCTTCTGCATGGTCTTTAGGATATTAATGAAACACGGAAGGGGAGCCTGTAGTCTACAATATTCAATATTGATTATAATGGAAAGAAATTGGCTACCAAGTGTAATTGGAATCTTAAAATGACCAAGAATTGAGTACAACTTTTTGTTCTTAGATTCCTTTTGAGTATATTCAAATTTTATGCTACATTTAAACCCATGGAACATGTGAGAAATAAGCTGTGAGTGAGCAAGGAGCTTCCTGGCTTTGCTTCAAACTGCTATATGGTCTTGGGCACAACACTCAACTAGTCATCTAAATTTTCTCATCTGTAGAACAAATTTTATGACTTAAGTACCTTTAATATAACACAACTGAATATAGTACATCTATTTTCTATTTCATAGAATTATTTATTTTTAATTTCTATGCAAACATTTTACCCTGCAGAATAATTAGTAATTATTAGGAATAGATTATGTCTAGTATTATTAATTTTTACAAATATGAGCTCATCACTAGCCAATCAAAGTAAACAAGAAGGCATTTAATAGCTCTGAATCTGACTGATGCAGGCTTATTATTCATTACAGAGAGGACATAATACAAAACCATTATATCTCCGACCAATTTCTAAAAAGTTAGTTATGGAAAGTATAGAGATGCAATTATATTTCAGTAGAATATTTCAAATCTTTCCATTGGAAATTTTTTGCTTCACTACATTTGACTAAAACTTGCAACTATTTTCATAAATCTTAAATGTCTTATAAGAAGCTCTGACTCAGAATGTTAACAAACTCTCTTTAATTTGTGTAGAGGGTAATAAAATTCAAATCAACAGGATGCAGTCTCAGTGGTACCAAAGAAACCATCATCCTCCACCGGCTTTGTGGTGGGAGGTAGGAAATGGCAATGGAAAGGAAGAGAATAATGTCCTTACAAACCAAGAAAGTCACAGGTTCATTGGAGAAAACAATGCAACTGCTTAAAAAAAGAAAGAAAGAAGTGAGCTAAGTGCCAAACCCAAACAGTGGTCTGACTGCTGAGGATCTTTTTCTTTCCTGATTTAATTCAGAAAATAAAATTTAAAACGAGAAGATTTTATTTCTGGAATGATTATAAAATCATGATCAAAGTCAGCTTAATTTCAGAAATACTAAACTCTAGCTTCTTGTATCTAATGGATGTAACCATTCTTAAAATCCCGATAATGAGCATATTTGTACAGAACTAGGCCCCCATGTAAAACAGGCATGCTTGGTTCATGCTGTTAACAATAATAACTTAAACAATGTACATGCATGAGTGCATGCATGCGTGCGTGCATGTGTGTGTGTACACACTGCGGGAGATTGAACCCAGGTCCTTGCACATACTAGGCATGTACTCCACTTATGAGTTACATCCTCAGTCCTAAATTATTAACAAATTTTGTACAAGAGGCCCTGTGTTAGCTTACCAAGACGTCATGACAAGTGTATTTAGCGTGCCCTTCCCCCTGTACTAAACACTGAACACTCCACACTCTGCCTTCTTTTTCTTCATGGAGATAATTATTTAGCCATCAGTTCACTGGAGTGGTTTCAAATAGCTCTCTTAGAAATGAAACAGTAATCTCAGACCAAGCATATCTATGACTGGGCTCTTACCTTAGCCTTTTCAACATTTATTCAGCATTGTTTAACATATTCTTTTGTAATTTCATGTTTTGAAAAAGATTATAGCTAGCATGACTTTCATTTTATTTTCCTTCGATCATCCCTCTCCCACATGTCATTATATTTAAATAAATTAAAATTCTAACAAGAATGTGCAAGCAGGACCACACCCCATACTAAACAAGCACACTCAGCTCCAGCCCTCTCATATGCAAGGACTCTCTTTGGCCTATAACCTCTTCATTCAGGAAAGTTGTACTCTGTCACATCTTTGGCTCCCAATCATGATCCCAACACTCTTTTATTCCACTAGAACCTTGAATATCTTCAGTATGGACTCTAGTTTATTTATTGTACTGTCTGCTTCCTGTACATTCTGGGGGGCTTCTTCCACATAATTTGCTATGCCTTTACTGCAAGAAAAAAAAGTTTCTTGTCTTCAAAAGGGATTGCAATTTCTTTGAGAGTAATGGCTATGCCTTTGTTTTCTACTTGAGGGCTTCTAGAACATTCTGACAAATAATTGCCATTTAGTATCCTTGGCTGGACTAGGATAATATGTGCTGATAGAGGCATATAATTTTACTAGAAAAAATATGTCAAAGTACTGAAAAGGGGGGATATTGACGCTATGTCTAGGAGCATGTACATATTAAACATTTGGTGAATAAGAACCCAGTGCCCTAGAATGTAGCTCGGTGTAGAGGGCTTGCCTAGCATGCACAAAGCCCTGGACTTGACCCTGAGCATCACAAAACAAGAAAGCAGAAAACCCAGATCCAACAAATAGGGAAAACCCATGCTGTATAATGTGGGAAAAGGTGATAAATTGATAAATTGGAACTCAACTGAATCGATGTAGGCTATTTTAAGGAATTTATCGTATATATACGAGTGCAAATAGTGTAAATTCAAAATGTCCACAATGAACAGAGTCCAGTGAATGTTTTAGAACAAGTCGTTCTTTTAAAAATTTGACAGATTTTTCAAATCAATGTATAAAGTTTCAAGTGTTTCTGAACTAACAGTTTTTACAAGCTTTTTAGAATTATTTCCTCTATACATATAATAATTGTTAAAAATAAGAAGATGGTAAAATTATATAGAAGGTTAAAAGCAACAAAATATTTCAGGGGCTGGGATTATGACTACATGGCAGTATATCTGCCTAGTATGTGTGACCCTGGGTTCAACCCCCAAACCTAGCTCCAAAATAAATAATTTCTCCTGCTACTGAAGACATTTTGAAACAAAATGTGACCATTAATCCCTTTACTCTCCTGATTCTGAGGCTTTGTCAACATTCATCATTACCATCAAAAAGATATATCTCCCACCAAAGTGGTTAAGGACGTACTATCTGGAACTTGAAACTCCACTGGCTACGTACTTGTCTCTCTCTGTAGTTGAGTGCCTCTTACACAGTCTTTCTGAGGCTTTTTCAGGAAAAAATGCATTATGCAAGCATGGTGTCGCGTTACAATGTATATCAGAGGGAATCCCAGCCCTGAATTCAGTCAGGTAATAATACGACACACACCAACACATAATGAAAGATGGGAAGCAGGGTTGCAGGGAGGTAAAAACATGGCGTCCAGGGCTGGGGGTGGCTCAGCGGTTAAGAGCGCTGGCTGCTCCTGCAAAGGACCGGGTTCCATTCCCAGCACTCCTTAACTGCAGTTCTAGGGGAATCTGATGCCCTCTTCTGACCTCCGTAGCATTGCACAACAAGGGTGCACTCACATACATGCTGGCAATACACTCATACACATAAAATAAGAAAATAACAAAATTTTTTAAAGAGAAGTTAAATGTGAGTTTAAACTTAAAGGTTTAGAATGCATTACTAAGAACCAGAGAACCCCAAGAAGAGAAAACGAAAGATAAGAATAGAGCCAGGAAGGGAGTGGGCACAAGCAGGGAACGGTGGCCCTTCACCTGACTGGGAGGGGTGTGCAGGAAAGCCATGTCTTGGTCGTCCCTACACACAAAAAGCTCTCTCAGGCCTGCATCACCCAGATGTTGAAGCTCCAAATTTGAGCGTTGTCCTTGAGATCTCCACACTTGGAATTTTTATTCAGCTTATGAGAAGATGCTGTCAAACTGCCTTCAAAACACATTTTGAAACCACTCATTCTTCCATTTTCACAGAAAATACCGGAATGCTGTCATTTCTCAGGAGCTGCAGTACTGCGGTCCCTTCTTGTCCTCTTAGGCTCCTCACATGGCAACTAGAATTACCTTTATAAAGCTTACACAGGTTATATCATTCCCCCCAACGGTTCTCCTTCATGCTATGGGAAATTCATATTTTTTTAAAAAGATTTGTTTTTATATATGTGTATATTGTGTACATGTGTGCAGTGACTTGCAGACACCCGAAGATAGCATCAGGTCCCCCTGGAGCTAGAGTTGCAGGTGGTTGTGAGCCACCAGATGTGGGTGATAGAAACTGAACTCTTTTTCTTCAGTAAGAGCAGCAAGTACTCTTAACCACTGGGCCATCCCTCCGGCCCCCATATTTCTTACTTGACTGAAATCCCACACAATTTCTCTGTCCCCTCTTCAAGATGTTCCCTTGTTTCTATTTACGAATCTAAAAAGACAGGCTTTCTTCCTTCTCCTGAACTTTCCGAAATTATTCTTACCTTAGGGTCCTTGCACTGGTCATTCTCTCCACTGGAAATGCTGGTGTGCATTACCCAAATTCTACACTGCTAACCTCTTGACATTCAGAAGGTGGTTTAAATGCCATTTCTTCAGAGAAGTATTCTGTGCTGATTCAACCTACAGTAACTAGACATTCAGTTGCCCACTGTGTCACCCTGTTTAATTGGTAGCATAGCTCATCAGCATTAAATGTTTTCCTATTTATGTTTATTTGTCATGGGACCTGAGACTTTGACTATATTGGTCACTTAAAACCATGCCTGGCACTAAATGAATAAACAATGCCTAACTCAAAACAAGCTAGAAATATATGTGAAAGGTAGATAAGTTTGATTTTATTCAAAAATGAATGGGAAATTTTTGAAAATTTTAAGGTGAAGATAGAAATCTGCAAAAGGCATAGTTTTTACCTTCGAAGAGTTTCAAATCCAGAGATGACTCTAACTCAATCACAATCTTGTTTCTTTGTTTTGTTTCTTGAGACAGGGTCTCCCTGTAGCCCCAGCAGGCCTGGAACTCACTATGTAGACCAGGCTGGCCTGGATCTTAAAGAGATTTGCCCCCTGCCTCTGCCTCCCAAGCTAGGCCCAACCATAACCTTAAAAAGAGAAACTAACAGTACAAATTGCCATATCCTAAGTACCAAGTGACTAACAGAAAAAAATCCATACCACAGAAATTTGACTAAGGGAGTGTGGGCTGAGATCCTTGGCTAGAAATGAAATTCCACAGGGCATTAAATAGCCGAAACAGCAAACAGGCAAGTAACACTTGTGATGAGCTCAGGGCACAGGGAACAGACTAGTGAGAAAAATAGAGTATGGACTGGAGAGATGGCTCAGAGGTTGGGACACTGGCTGTTCTTGCAGAAGACCCGGGTTCAAATCCCAGCACCCACATGGCAGCTAACAACTGTCCATAACTCCAGTTCCAGAGGATCTGATGCCCTCTTCTGACCTCCTCAAGCACTGTATGACACGGGTGCACTTACCTACATGCAGGCAATACACACATACACAT